ATGTGAACGTGTGTGATTAGTATCAGAGATTTCGTTCTTTCTGTTGCCCTGTTGCATCGATGTGTCAACAAAGTTTCCGTCACGATAGCGGTGTTTCAGTGCAGTTCAACAGAGAAGGGGAAGCAGCAGGGACGTACGAACGGGCCGCAAGGAGTCTTGTCAGTGAGCAGTTCGCCATAGTTAGGCGAGGCGCGCCCAATATGGGGGCTGAGCTAGTGGAGTGTTGAGGAGGTCCAGGACGCGCTCGGGAGGGGGAGAAGCGAAGAGGTTACCTCGAAGGATGTCGAAGATGCCAGATCAGTAGAGACCGAAAACGATTAACGACTGGATGACATACTGGAGGAGGGAATCCCCCGAGAAGCTTTCGACAAAGTGACAAAAAAGTTAGACTGGTGCCAAGAAGGAAGCACTGAGTTCTTGGGTTGCATGTTGAAAGATATCAGGCTACCCTTGGTGCCTAATGTAACGAAAACGAAACTCGCGGCTGAAAAGATTAGACAAGCTTTTACGGTCTGGGAAGAAAATCGGTTGGAATTGGAAACGAACAACCGTATGTATGGCCGCCGAGGTGCTAACGACACTAATCCTTTTCGCTAAGCGAAAGAACGGGTACAAAGATGTACAAAAGGGCAACAAAATTTAATAACATAGCACTAGCATTTGATGCTCGATCTCCTCGTCAGCTGGGCGAATCACTACATACGGCTATGGAGGCCAAAACAGTTTTGAATAAAACGGCAGGAAAAGTATATCAAGCTTGATTCGTGAACCAAATGAGACGAAGCTGAAGGCGAAAAGCAGAGCTGATACGGGAGTTTAAAGATCAGGTGAACCAGCCTAAGGCGCAGGGTTTACGCGACGGTGGGTCCAGAGCAGGCCAAAAAAGAACACCTTTCTGCGAGCACAGATTTTCCATGAACTTAAAGGTGTTTCAGAGCAAATACGATGGGGCGTTGCCTCATGGATATGAATGAATCGTTGCAGGTCCGCAATGGAACATCGCCGCAGGGGAACTGGAGAGGAGCTCAAGAATGGAGCAGTTATGATGACGGCGATTCCCGTAAGTGTTTAAATCCTCCGGATCCAATAGAGGCATTTCTTGAGAATGCCGGTGGTGGGAGACCGTCAATAGAGTTGGCGCGCATGGCCATTCAGTGTACTAAACGTATGCAGACGCAGTTGCCACCACCTGAAATTGGTGGCAACTGCGTCTTCCAAGACTTTATGGAAGAATTTCAGTTGGGGTTTGACGGTGAAACAGACAGAACGAAGATATTTGTAAGCCATTCTGTCAGGTTCTGCTCGAGACGCTTTTCTGGGAATAACCGACTTTAT